TTTCTTACCAAATCCACCCCGAACGCAAACTAATCAACTCGATCACATAAAACACGGATAACAAGGCATAAAGAAGCAGAAATGGGGGAAACGGAGCGGTAACTCATGAGACGACTGGCCGGGTCGTCACATATAAACAACAAGTATAACAAATTCTGATGATATTTTCTTTATAAAAATACATGGACAAATAACACCATTTATGTAATCTTCTTTCAGCAAATATTTACTGAGGCGATTATACCATACGCGCACTGATTGCTTTAAACCGTACAAAGATCTTTATAATTTGATCAAGTACATTTCTCAAGACTTTGAATTATATGCTTCAGGCATTTTTAATCCTTCAAGGATCTTCATATAGATTTAATCAAATAAGTCATATAGGTTAAGACTTGTATCTAAATGGTATGACATCTTCAAGTGTCTGGATTGCTGGTCCGATCCTCACAATCTTTTACAATATTATGCACTATATTGTATCAAATATATCGTCGACGATCATTTTGTGTCAGTTCCTAAGCGACATAACTTGTTGAGATCTCATCACTTTCTTTATTTTCAGGTACCTGAACTTCTTCGGGAGTTTCATGAAATGTTATGTCGTGGGCTCTTCTAGAGCTTATTTCCTCCTCATTATGATTATTTTGATCATTAGCTCCTACCATTTTTCAAGGATTGTTACCTTTGGAATCGATTGGTATACCACGCTTCATGCGTACAGTAAACTCTATCATTCAGGGACTTTAATTTTAATAGGAGTATTTGTAGCTGAAATATGATATTAAATTTTGGATCAGCAAATGCTTCTGGCATTTGACTTGAATTATCTTCTAATTGAGGATCATATTAATGATAATTCGATTCATATCGCATTTCAGCTGTTTATTCCATCCCCCAAAAGTTAGAAAAATTAACATATATCCCCAATCTTCTTTGGGAAACATATCTTTGTGTATTGTGGTAGAGAAGTTAATCATATACCACACATCAAAAGATAGTAAAAATATTTGATTTTTGATTCTAAACCAATTGTGAGGGGAGGACTTTATCATATATTGTTGGTTTGATGCATACAAGTGCTGCTGTATGCAATTTAGAATATCTTAGACCAACACATGAAGCTTTGTTCTCATAAGCAATAATTTAGCCAATAGTAGGAGGTATTCAATACTAAACCAGCTTGGATATAAACCAGCATTATCAAGATGAACTGTTTTGATTTCATAATCTGAAAGTTATGCTCTTAATTGAGAAAAACAATCTCAAATGCCAAATTACAGGTTGACAATAAACATACATGTAACCATCTTATATATGCATCTTTAAGTGGTTCACATGACAGGTGAATGAGTCCATATTCACCTTTTATATATTTCAGAATCAGGGATCTTAGTCCCAACTTTAGTTGGTATAATCAATTTATTATAAGAACAAGCAACACAGGGAAATTCTTGAAGAATCTTCTAGTTCTTCAATATATGTTTATCTGAATTCTTAAATAGCTCATTCAAAAATGGCAAATGAAAACTTCAAGTTTATCATGGCATGTGCTATCTCTTAGTAAACTTCTGGTTTACTATGGCATAAACTTTTGCATTAATAAACTTCTGGTTTACCGTGACTGCTTTTGCATTAGTAAATTTCTAATTTACTGTGATACATGATATAATATAAATTGAAGAATAAGGCGGGTAACTTCTCACATACATATTATTTTACCCCCTATGATTGTGAAAACATGAAGATTTTCAATCTTCCATTCATTTGTAGTCTCAATATGATAGTCATTTGTATTGGTAAACTTCAGGTTTAATACAACATATGTTTTGACCATAATCATATTATATGAATGACATATTTGTATATAAGATCTTTGAGAGCCTTCATTTATTATCCACAATCTAATATTTATCGGACACTACTGGTGTCGTGTGTCTTCTAGGCAAACAATTAGCTCTTCAGGAGTTGTTGATACATTTTGTACTATCAAATATTACTCATACATTTCTGGTATCATGAGAGAAAATCACAATCAAATAAACAATGTAAAACAATCATTTAAGCACAAGAAAACTCTTTTTCATAATATTTTCCTACTTCAAGAGGCAATTTCAATTGTGTTATTTCTTCGGGAACAAATTTAAAATACGAAATATTGAGTATATATTCTCTCAATTATATTAACTCTTCTGGAGGTGAATTGTAATATATTCATTTCAAGAGCGCGTTCATATTTACCAGATTTATTAATATTGTCACATTCATTTCAGGGAATAAATTAATATTATCAAAAGTTCTCATCCTTCAGGAAATCGAACATAATTATCTGAATGCGCATTAATCACATCAAATTGTGATGCCTCAACCTCTTTTAAAATATTTACTACTTCAGGAGCAAATCGAGGCTTGCATTTAATATAGAGAATATTTATGTAGCTTATTTTCAATTGTAACCATAGAAAGCCTAAATTATCACTTCTGGTGATCATAGGCATATACCACTTCTGGTGGTTAACAAAATATAATTACAATGAGATATATGAAATATAACTACTTCTGGTGGTTGTATATTTCTTGCAAACTCTGCTAGAGTTTAAGTTGATCTAATAATATTATCCATATTCTTCAAAATGACATAAATAAGATATATTATAGTAAACATCATTATCAAATCATAATTTTTCTTTATGTACAACAATTACATAACCATACTATCTATTACAAATAACAAAAATTAAAATATTTACATTTCTATAGATTCACCACCGATTACATGACTTGTTTCTCCTTCTGGGAGTGCAAGGTAATCAGTTACATCCAAATGCATGAAGTCTAAATTATCTTCAGAAATAAAATTTGCTTCAGCATTTTTCTCTGTCTTCTTTAGGGAGGCTTGATAAAGCTCAACCAGGTGCTTTGGCGTACGACAGGTACGTGACCAATGCCCTTTTCCTCCACATCTATAACATGCATTTTTTACATTTGGTGCTTGCACCACTTCATGCTTTTGTTCCTTCCTTTTCCACTGCTGGTGGTGAGGAGAGTTCTTTGGTGCATTATTATTACCATGATTAAAATTTCTTCCCCGACCATGGCCATGACCACGACTGGGGCCACGACCTTTTCCACGTCTAGCTTGGTGGAAGTTCGTCTCATTCACTTCAGGGAATGGACAAGAACCAGTAGGTCGGCTTTCATGGTTTTTCATTAATAGCCCATTACGTTGCTCGACTATAAGAAGATGTGAGATAAGCTCAGAATACTTTTTAAATCCCATCTCTCGATATTGCTGCTGCAGGAGCATATTCGAGGCATGAAAAGTGGTGAAAGTTTTCTCCAACATATCATGCTCAGTAATATTATCACCATATAATTGCAATTGGGAAATAATTCTGAACATAGTAGAATTATATTCACTTATAGATTTAAATTCTTGTAGCCTTAGATGAGTCCAATCATAACGTGCCTGTGGAAGAACGACCATCTTCAGGTGGTCATATCTATCTTTCAAATTATTCCACAGTATGACTGGATCTTTAATAGTGAGATATTCCATTTTCAAGCCCTCATCAAGGTGATGACGTAAGAATATCATTGCTTTGGCACGATCTTGGTTTGATGCCTGATTTTTACCCTTGATGGTGTCTGCCAGACCCATCGCATCAAGATGAATTTCAGCATCAAGCACCCCAGACATGTAGCTTTTGCCCGATATATCCAGGGCTACAAATTCAAGTTTAGAAAGATTTGACATTATATAGAAAAAGAAAGTTCGTACCTCAAATAATTTCAAAGTATTTGCTCGAGATGGCAGAGTCTCGTGCTGATAACGTGTTATAAAATAAAGACTATAAAGTAAAGACAAGTATAGAGAGAAACTGATATATTATTCGAATTCAAACTGATGTACATAATGAACTGAAATCTCTTCTATTTATAGAAGAAAGAAAGCTATTGCGTAAGCTGCTACTGCAGGCTGCTAGTGCAAGCTACTGTGTAAGCTGCTACTATACCAGATATGGATAATCTTCTACTGAGAGTAATGTTTATCCATAACGGAATACTGAAAGGATAAACTCATTGTACCATGTATAGATAATCTTCTATTGGGGGTAATATTTATCCATAACGGAGTACTGAAAGAATAAGCTCATTATACCAGGTATAGATAATCTTCTACTGGGAGTAATGTTTATCCATAACGGAGTACTGAAAGAATAAGCTCATTGTACCCGGTATGGATAATCTTCCACCGGGGGTAATGTTTATCCATAACGGAGTATCGAAAGGATAAGCTTATAATACCCGGTATGGATAATCTTCTACCGGGGTAATATTTATCCATAACGGAGTATCGAAAGAATAAGCTTATTATACCCGGTATGAATAATCTTCTATCAGGGGTAATGTTTATCCATAACGGAGTATCGAAAGAATAAGCTTATTATACCCGGTATGAATAATCTTCTATCAGGGGTAATGTTTATCCATAACCGGGTACCGAAGTGATAAGCTTCTTCAGGAGGTTTATTTCCAATAGAGTACTAAATAGATAAATATATTTACGGCGGAGTCTCATATGAATAAATTTCTTCAGGAAGCTTATTTACAACGGAGTACTAAATGAACATCCATAATATAATATATTTATAACAGTAAGAACGTACTTTGTATTGTTTTTGGATTTGGCAAAATATTTTTGCTGTTATTTATTTTTTGAGAAATTAATTCAAATTTAATCAAATGGAGAATTCTTTTTTGGTTTATACTAGGAGTACAATTTATTTAGAACAAAAAATATGTTACATTGAATTGTTTTCTGTGGAGAAAAGGTACTTAAAAGTGGGTCCCAGAGAAGGCCTATAAACGAATGACACTAATCCAAAAAGAAAGGCGTACAGGTGTTACACGTGTCCAGATAAGTCTAGGCTAGGTCCACAAAAACCAATGAAATAAGAAAGGAATACTCAAAACCACTGTTGCCACAATCCACAATTGGGCGATGGAAAGCACGTGCTCCCTCAACCAATAAACTCTCTCTCTCGCACACACGCTAATGCACATATTCATATCCCTCCTCACTTCGTTTCTCCAAAGTCTTTCTCTCTCTAAATGTTCCCTCTCTCTAAAACCGCCTAGTCTGTGGTGATGTTGATCCTCTCTGCGTCTCCTTCTTCCTCCACTCTCTCTTCTTCTTCTTCACACATTTCTAGGCCTTTAATTTCTTCCTCGTCTTCATCTTCTGCTTCATTTTCAACTTCACTTCCAGTAGTTGCAGTCAAAGCTGCTGCCAGGCTACTGTCAATTCGGAAGTTACGGTGTGCAATTTTCTGTGCTTCGAAGGTTCGTGGAATGGCGGAAATAGTTGAAGAGAAGAAGGAATCGAATTCAACTGCTGCTGCTGCCGCCGCCGTCGCAGTTTCTACTTCTGAGAATCATGAGCTTCCGCAGTCGCGTGCCTTCCTTGACGCTCGTACTGGAGAAGGTTTATTTCTAGCTGCTCTTTTTTTTTTTTCAATTTGAAATATCTTTTGCATTTTGTGCTATGTCAGTGTGGTTTATTTTCTATCCACTCGTGCATTTTTGTGCGTAATGTGTCAGTGTCCCTTGTACGCATTTACGGTACGACGGCGTTTTTGTTCGAATGCATTGAAATCCTTGATATTCTTCACAGCTAACGATGCTAAACATACATGGTACTCGCAAATGCGCGGGTAGATTTTTTCTCTTCTGTGAGAGCTTATATTTCTGTTTTTTCCTCTTCCTGAACTTCAGTTTGTTTGTTAGGATAAAAAATTGTGTTGAGCTGATAGTTAAAAAGTAAGGATATCCCATTTGGCATGGACTTTTACTGTGAATGTTTGGAGTTATAATTGGTTTTGCCGCATGAACAAGTGAACTCTATGTTCATTGTTCAAGGTAAAATAAAGTGATGGAGATCTGAGGTTTGTTTAATATTATGTTTTTCCTAATAGTCCTGTCAAATAGACTTGTAGGAAAAACGTTCCATTCTAAGAGATGATTGGTCACAAGAGCAGTTTCAGTAGTGGTATTAAACTATTAATTCAATTATTTTTTTATGCAATAAATAGCATACTGGTCTGTGGAAGCATGCTTAAGAGTTCAAACACCATTTCAATGAATTTGTCAACCTTGATGCACAGGTAAAGTATGTTTTGGTTACAGTAAGCTCAATGAGTGTTCCTCTATGAAACACATCAGTTGGGCTTTGTTGCTTCAACTTCATAGGGACATCTTAAACTGACAACTAGCAGAACTAAACTTGAAGAACGGTGCCACTATAACGTAATGTGAGTCCATCTTGATGATGGTGCTTGATAATTTGTGGATGGTAAGAGACTCGAGACAGTTAATAGGGGATGTGATGAGGGGAAGGATATATATTGAAGGGTAAGGCTAAATAAAAGTTAGGGGTTGAAAACCTTTTTATGAACATCAAAATAACCAGATGAACTACCAAGACAGGATTGTTAAAGAGAATTAAGAAGCTAACTGGTTTCTACTCTTTTTTTCTTTCTCTTTTCCATCTGTTTGGTTTAAAGGAGTTGATTGCTGAGAGGTAAAAGCTATAGACTAATTTGCATTAGTGTTATTAAAAGCCATCGCTTTGTCGCTTAAAGCGATGAAGTGAAGCAAGGTGTTGTTGCTTCATATGTAAAATCATGCGCCTTAGAGAAGTTTGCGCTTCAAACAATGGTGCACAACGCAAGTCCCATGAGAATCAATCGCTTCTTTGAATCTCAAGTTCGAGGAGTTGGACTAATATGGCACTATTGTATATTTGGTGTTGAAATTAGTAGTTTAATTTCAATTTAATTCTTGTTATACTAAATTCGTAGATGTTTGATTTTTTTTTATTTCCTGTAAATTGTGTTGTTCACTTCAGGGAAAGGTGCTCTTTTCTTCTCTTTTTTCGTTTCAAGCCTCATGGACCTTGTCGTTATTTTTGTGCTTTTGGATTGTAAAAAGACTGGAATGCATTATCCCCCC